AGGTAATGGATATTGATCAATAGATAAATACAGCTTCATACCTGTGAATGTGTATGAACTAATCAATCGGCAAGTGTTAGTTAGTAAATATTTTGATAGGAAAAAATTGTTCTCTCACGTATCCTTTGTTTTATGAATGCGGCGAAAAGAAAAGTATAATAAGTACGGTAGTAATGTTTTCATTACATTAGGTAAATAGTAATTGATTTCGTACATTCAATAGAAGTTTCTATACATCGTGTTTAGCAAGAAATGTTCGTCGTTTACAATCAATACAATTGACAATTACCTTTATTTTGCTACAAACTATTGTTAGATTTACTCGTTCTATAACTTTGCACGTGAAAACGTGTTTCTTTAGCTGTATCTTCATTAATATTTGTAAATAGTTTATTCAATATATTTACAATATCGTATAAACTGTTTAGTTTATATTACCTAGTGTATAAGATTGTTAATTGAATGCATGCATTCATCCTACGATTTATACGTTGGCAAAATGGGTTTGTTTTAATCTAGTCTTTTTTATTTCTCGCTTTATTATTCTTATTTATTGTGTACCTATACAATCATTATTAATTAGAATTTTATCTTTTACTTTTTTTATATCGTCATGTTTGATAACCTTATGACATTTTTTTTATAACAGTATTTTTTTGAATTTGATTAGCAACTTTAGTGTTTTTGAAATTTATACAAATTTCAAAAGTCCTTGAAATATGTTTTTATCTGTCCGTTTTATTTCTGTCTTTGCTTTAATAGTATCAGTTTTGTGTGGGATAACGTAGTATGAAATTGTTATTTTAGGTATATTTTTCTTTTCGTCCGTAGTAACAAAGATGATAACAAGATTAAAATTAATTCAATCATAAAAATGCTCATAACAATTAATGCGATCGTTTCTCACGATGTATTTTACGATTCGGTCTGAGTCACGTGTAACATTGTACTTGTATAATAAATTGTTTTAATACACTTGTACCCACGTGGTCGTTATTTTATTATTGATTGTCTCAGTTTCGTTGCGGTTGGATGAAATTCTGTCAGTATCATGTATCACACCATCGTCTTTTGTGTTAGTATTGGATATTGGTTTTGTTCAGCTCAACACCCTGTCTTGTATATACTGAACTTGTGCCTATTTCGGTGTGGACTTGGGACATACACCCACATCATTATCTCAATGTGTTTCAACAGTCTACTACTCCTATTAGTCCCTTTGTTTTTTTTAATGTTTGCAATATTTTTTTCTTTCATTACCTATGTTTGGCAGTCCAATAAAAACAATACTGCTAACGGCCAGAAGCACCTTCTTGCTCTCGATCTTGTCCTTTTTTGCTGTTGTAATTATCCATGAGTCTTGCGAATCTCTTAAAATGAGATGATCAGTTTTCCTTCGTATATAGAAAGGATTACAACCGTCGTCTTCATCATCTTTGAGCTAATATCTTATCTAGAACGTAGCTAAAATTAATGAGTTAGGTTTAATATTCTTATTAACTCTAATATTATTAGTGAGATTGCCTCTTAGCCTCAGGCGATTCTATTTATTTGCTTCATATTTTTTCAGAGAGGTCAGTTTCGTATTAGTCTAGGGTTGCTGTAAAGAAATGTTTTCAAATTATATCAAAAATCTAAGCAGAATATGTTCTTAGTTCATATTATTTACAATAACTACGTTTATATCTATTATCTGTTTCTGTATTCGTTTTTATATTTACTGTATCTGTGATGTACATTAATAATAAAAAACAGTGTTATTTGAGATCAAAAGTTATATTTATCATGGTAATGATTAGGAAGTCTAGGCATTAATCACAATATTAAATAAACAAAATTCAGCGCTGAATAAGAAACAATAAAATCTTAATTAAACAGAGACAAAGAAGCATCGAACCCTTGTTGTTTATTAAATTCATTTCTCAATCGTTGCAGCCCTAAACTGCCCCGGTATCTCCATCCCCATTCCCACCCTGTCTGGCCAGTAAATGCAGTTTGTACCTTTTTACCCCCGTCTGGCAGCACGGGGGGAGATTTTACAAAGTGAAGTGGTTACCGAGGGGTGGGAGGGGTGTAAAAATAAAAATACTATTTTTAATTTACCTTCAGACTGTTTCGAGATGAAATTGAGTGTTTTTTAAGCGAACTGTGTGTGTGGGTTGTTGACTCAATTGGAAAATTTGTTTTTATTGAGGGTAAAATGGTTTTTTAGATTTGTAAGGTTTCGAAGCAAGAGTATTTGTGATTTTTTATCGTATGATTTAAATATTTTTATTTCTCTAGTGTTTGCTTAGTAAATATGGTGAAAATTTTTATAGATGTTTTTCTTTTCCGTGACAGAGTAGGTATCTGATGTAAGATTTAATTGTGTTTTGCGATGTTGTATAGATAAATTTGTTTTGTATTGTTGTATTGTTTCGTCCGTGCAAATGTTATTCTATTCTATCTTCTTCTATTAAGTTAATCATCTAAAACATTTAGTGTATGATGTCAGTTACAGCTACTTCTACAACTTTTTGATAACTTATCTTCCGGTTAAACGAAACAGTTATCTCATGATGGCCTAATATTAAAATAATTCGCTCATATAACACACTTCCCATGCGCCGGAGTTTGTTCGCACGTGCCTCCCGACATATTGGCCAATCACAGGCCGCGGTCGACGGAAGCGCGGAGGCCGCATCCTCGCGACACTTCCGCCTGCGCCCGCGCACCTAATCGCGTTGATATGATTCATTAGTTAGTTGAACTTGCTAGTTAAGGAGTTCGTCCTGGCTAAAATAAATATATTTTCCACATGGTAGATTTCCACGCTATACACAAGTATTTTTGAAAAACAAAAGGCATTGCTTTTTAATTACGTTATTGTAATCGAAAGTTCTTATATCTAACAAAATATCAATTATGCAACATTTTTTCATCAGACCATTTTTTTCACATCGCTTTTAAGTTCAGACTTGATTGAAGCTTATTTATGTAGGAAGATTTATGACTCAAAATCTAGGTCACATTTTGAATACACTGTTTTCTACACTAATTTATTATTTATTTTCTTAAGAAATATTGACGGCCTTGTAGTCAAGTGAGGTTTTGGTTTTTAGGTTATTTAAAATATGCAATTGACTATTTACATTTTCGGAAATTCTCAGTTCCTAAACAGGGTGCGGTTTCAAAAGTAAAAATTAGAAGTCTCACGCACGATATTATCCATCGCCATATATCAGCGGTTAATTATGTGCCAGGTTTCAAGCCCGCACCCTCAAGCATGAGAAGCGGGCGCCTTAACCTTTGGGCAACCACGCCACGATATTATGATATATGACAAAGGAAATATATTACCTATATTATCTTCTGTAATGTATAACATTAATATTCCCGCTAACATTACGCCGATGACATTGAGATGTCACCTCGTAGAGTAACTATTTCTATTGATGCATTGATACAAGCCCGCGGCCAACTCACTACATTATGTATTAGTTCCTATATACTATATACTATGTAATATATAATGCTATATTGTTTTATACTCACGAGAAAGGAAGTGATTGCTTTGCTAATGGAAATATCGTGAAACGTCAAGTGTTAAGGATAAAATTATTATTTTATACCTACATATACACAAACATGTTGATTTAATATTATTCCGCATACGAGTAAAAAGTTTTTAAATTAGAAATATTAAATGTGTTGTTATTTTTAATGAATTACTCACATAACGTTGGACGAGGCATCTCGACTAATTTCGAGCCGCGCTAGGGCTCATATTCATGAGCAGTATTTCCAATATGATGCGACAAATATCGCGAAGCCAACTGGTAGCATTTTCTCTGTCCGGAATCTTAACCAATCTCCTTGTATTTAGCAACCTAATCTGTATTTGCATTTGTCACAAAAGTGTACACATTTGGTCAATTTATAACTTAAAACATAAACATTGTTACTAAATATATATCTTATAGTCACATTAAGAAGACACTCAATTGCACAAATTTAAGATTTCACGATACAAAACGTAATGTATGATTAAACATTATAATAAATATCAGTAATGTGGATTTACGGAAACGTCTCCATTCTGCAATAACTGCCATGTTTATCCCTTTAAAACATCTCTGCTTATGACAGTTTATAACACAAAGTGGTCCTTTATACATACTTAAGTATTTGCTACAACTTCACTTCATTATTTTAAGTTTATTTTCTTTCAAGTCTCTTTAGACTACTGTCATTCAAAATGTAGTGAAGTGAATGGAAAAGTTAATAACATATGATCGACACTAGCAATCAACAATTAACATCGAAACTTATTCCAATTACTATTAGCATAATTTGTCTAGTATTATCTATCTCAATTTAGACAGTTTCGTTTTACATAAAATATCATCAAAATTCCACCAAGTGTTTTGGGGATAAAGCGAATCAAACAAATTCACGGGTCCATTATAAATTGGTTGGACTTTGTCACTCAGGAAGTCACAGATGACCTTCCAATATTTGTCCAAGTGTTGACACCTACTGAAGTCAATGCACGTAGCTTTGAGAGTTGAGGAACAAGGATAATTTGGGTGTGACCCTAAATGTTTTGAGGACCTCAGATGAGGAGGAAAATCCCAAAGCAATTCTTACTTATTGTTGTCCTTATAATTCTTAAGAAGCTGACAACGTTGTCATTAGTAGAATAGCTAATATTTACGTCGTTCAATATGTTTTTAAAGCAGGTAAAATAATATTATATCGTAAAATAGAATGTCTATACAAATATACATCAAACAATGTATAATAAACTAAATATAAAAACTCTTGCTCATATTGATAAACAACTCTAAGCGCTTCAAACAAAGCACATTGTTGACCAAACTGTCTTCTATTACTCACAACCCATAATAGATATAATTACAAACGCACTCAAATTGGCGACAATCTATATTTAATTATAATAATTTTACACCTCGACTCTGCCAAAAACGTCACTTTAATTTGATCAATTCATTTTTAAGTTGGAGTCGATCCAGAAAACGAAGCGAGAAGTGTCGTAAAGTGTCGAACAGTGTTTTTATCAGTGACGTAAAATGCAAGTGTAGATGAAAACAACAATAAAATATTTGCAGTGAATGTGTAATATATGGTCGGACAGATGATGTGGTTTAAGAGAGAGTCGAAACCGACCGTCGTTAAAGGTGAGAATGGAGTGGTTAACAAACTTAGAAGGAAGAAACCAGTTATACTGAAGGCGACTAGAGAGTCCAGTGAACGGGAAACTTCGACAGAGAGTGACAAAGAGAGGAGACGGTATTCCGATATACTCGACGTCGTTTCCATAGGTTTGTATCAAGCTACTCATTTAAAGACTCAATACCTTGCCATTTTTTCACATTGAAATGTGTCTGAGTTTACATTCTTATGTAACTACAAATAATAACTGAACAATGACGTGATTGGAGTCATAATCGAAAATAAGACTTATTGTTATTGCGTTCTAAATTGAATATAAAAAATTCAGCTCGTCTGTGCCCCGTCAGTCTGGAGGAACAATGAAAGTTTAGACAAAATAAATCATTCTAGAAGCTAGATATTAATGTGGAATGTTTTCACTGTGATCGATTTATAGTTTTCTTTAAATAAATTTTTAGTACACTTTCAGTACAGATGTCCGCGATCAGATATCCTAATAACCGTTACTCAAAAACGCCTATTTCCAAAATCACTCACAATTTCCGAAAGTTAAAACGCCGGGCCTGCCCCTCATTAGTATAAAAGCTGCTGAAAGTGTCAAATTCGCACGCGATCACTATTTAGTGTAGTCCCAGTGACCCAATTTCAATGTAAGCAACCTATTTAGCTATCGAGGGCTCGTAAAATTATAATTAAACATCACTATTTGAGTTTGTACAGTAATTTATTCATGTTGCTATTGGAATTAGGTCTCTTATACAAAGTGGGAATGCTATTAATTCTATTGCGTGTCACAAGGGAATAATAGCTAACGTCTATTTTCCTGTATCATTCTATTTGTGACACAGTCCGGTTAAAATTTATATTTTTAAACGGTCTTATCCGTACACTATTATTTTGAAATCGGTTAGTTCCGGAAAACATCGCTAGTTTGTCGCTTGACACAGTGCTCTTCAAGCGTGTTGAGATTCCAAATAAGTTATGTTTTCACCAAAAACAAACATCGCAGTCGGGCAGACGGTGAATAACCGTCCCTGGTGACGTCATCAGCCCCTCCTTACAGAAGGAAAACACTTAAAGAACATGTAAATATTTTAGTAAGAATTCAAAGCACGCAACCTCGCTTCGGTTGAGGGTCGAATCAATTCCGGGAAATGTCAAATTTTCATGTATTCTTCCCTCGACATTTGTATTCGGATTCATTTCTATATATCACGACAATAACAACCCTTTCAAAGTAAGTTGAAATCAAGTAATGGCCTTTAGTATAGGTAACTGTTACATAAACTTATTTAAAAAAATCTTGTAGAAAACAGTTTCTGAATATGAAAAGCTAGAGAAACCAACTTTAAATTTCAAAAATAAATACAAAAGCAACTTTCAAATATTGCGACACCTCACTATGGTAATCTGGTGCTAGACAAATGTTTACAGTTTATGCAAGATTACTGTTAGGATTTACTCCCTCAAGTCGTAAATACCACCGTTTTAAGATAATGCACCGTTATCTGGATTAGGTAATACTGATAACTTATCTCCTCCAGATTAAGTGAACGTAGTTTTGTTCACATACAAAGACTCGGGTAGAAACTTTTATTATAATACAATCCATTTAAGAAGCTTTACATAAAACATTGTAATTTTTAAATTAATAAACTAGTCAACGTTACATTAGATGAAACATTGTAATGTAATTTAAATAATTGTCATAATAATTGGAGAGCGTAACACACTTCCGGAACATCGCGAAACATAAGATAACAACATAATGGCTCGTTACGTCTCGCTAATTTCTTCTAACACCAAAATTACGCAATAGAAAGCGGTACCTACTTACCGTCAAAACTATAGAACTCGGCATTGTATGTTAATACTAATTATAATTAATAATACGCCTGTAAAACGCGCTCAACTGCCTCCGTATGACTCACAATAATCTTGACATTGTCTCGAACACAATCGATCGGAAAACGACATGTTTTACCCTCCAATCGGGTCATTGTTTCAGTTTTTGCAACACTCAGACGTCTTAAACGTTATTAATGATGATTGCGAAGTGATTGCCGTTAAATTTAGCAATTACAGTACAAAAGTAAACGTTTTCGTAATTAATGGCAAGGTATTCGCGAGAAGTTTCAACTGTAAGATCTCATGGCGTGATGTCATTTCTACAGAGAGACGAGATGAGAGCGACGAATCATTGTACGAGTCCGCGGATGGGCACAGCGATGCCATATCCGCGAGCGATGATGCCCTACCAAGGCTCAGCAAGACACCAACTATCAGCAAAGAATCTCTAAAAGTAGCTGTTACAGATGAAGAAGTTGACTTTGCTAAAACTAAAAAAGGACACAGAAAAACGATGTCTTTATCAAATCCTTTAGAAATCGTCAAAAATCTGGGAGATGAGTGGTTTGAATCAGCTAGAAGAGAATTAGACAAAAATAATGACAAGAAGAAATCAAGAGAGAGTCTATGGAGCGAAGAAGATCGTGATTCTATCCATGGCTCATCGATGAAACTTGACCAAATACGGAAGAACAGCAAAAAAGAAGACAAAAATCAGGCAAATCTCAGAAAAATCAGTACAACCGAAGCACCTAAAACTAGGAAAACTAGCAAAGGTTCATCAGTTAGTGCATTAAATTTTCTCAGAAGAAAAAAGACGCCAACTTCTACAAAGCCTGTAGAATCAGTTGCTGAAGATGACAAGGGATTACGACCAGATGAAATCATGGACCGTACAAAGCTATTTTTAGAGAGTGAAAAACAGTTTGCCGCTATCACAGCTACGAGGCCTGTTAGGCCAGTGGAGACAGACTCTGAAGACGAGCCTCCTACGCCTAAAATGAATGAACATAGAAGGAGATTGAGCAGGCAGACATCTCGAAGTAAAAGTAAGGTTAGAGGGAAAAGTCAATCTCTTAAAGTGAATACTTTAAGAAAATCACATAGTGGGACCTTAAAGAAAGGAAAAAAGAAGAGTGTGAAGACCCCTTCATCTGGGAGAAGTAGGCAGGCCAGCATCGTGGAACAAACTCCAATCGCTAAGAAAAAACATTCAGACTCTACAAAGCCGAATTCTTGGCTGTTCAGTGGATCTCGAGGTGAGTCATTTGATATATTCAGATCTTAGATCTTAAAGCTATGGTCTAATATAGTGATAGAGATCAAGGTTGGAATAAATTGTAGTACCTATACAGAAACTATAGTATGGATAAACTTAGTTTTTATCATTTTTGATATACATTGGCGTGTATTAATACAATTGCATATCTCCATAATAATGGCATATGTCACGGACAGATATTAGCACATTAGTGTCCAAAATTATCGCCTGGGTCACACAGTTATCTTCACTAATTCGACCGTGGCATGTTGTAATCGTCCCACATTCGTAATTTTGTTTAAATATAGCTTTGCTATGGTAGTCGCTAATAATTTTCTGTGATTACGTGTTCAGAATAGTTTTTTCCTGCGACTTTAAAAAGCCTACAATATGAATGTATTGGCTATCAGTTCATGCGTTCCCAGTAACTATATTACCGAGTATATTTGTTGCAGCAAGTGCAGTTATCTTGTTTGATAACGTGTGACCTTACTGTGTGTTGTGACGTTTACTGTCCAGTGTCCAGAGGAACTAGTTCCATCTTTCAATCGTTACGTTGTCTCGTTATCAAGTTCTTTATTTAGTTTGTACTCTGGGTGTAAGCAACCGGCCAAATGTTTACCTTCATTGGAAATTTCACACGTATTTATATTTATTTGTTGTTTCATGGTTGCTCCGATGGAATTCAAGACTTGGCTAGTATTATTCTAAATCCAGAACACACCTGTTGTTCGTCATATAAATGAGCTCTCTTTTATGTGTTCTTAAATGTGTATTTTCTTTGAATAAGCCAGAGTGTGGGACTTACATGTTTCTAAGAAACAATTGTTAGGTCCTCCGACATTCTTATAATGTGCTATCATCGTTTGTTTATTGTTACATGGAAATATGATTTAATGGAGCCATTATTCTTGTGATGACTTAATGATATTATAATCTGATTTTCCTGTAGAATATATACAAGTATTTATCTTCCGCCTTTCCCTTCTCTGGGCTGCATATTTTTTTATTATTAATCTCAATTTGTTATCTCTAATAATTATCTTAAAGAAAAATTTTGGGCCCAAAATTTTAAATTCAACCAATAGTACTGGATCTAATATAACACGTGATCATAAATTCCATTGTCAGCTATGCACCACGCTTCTTACTTCAGAATCTGAATCATATGTTTATCTTCCATATCCACTTTAGTATCAAAATAACTGCACGTCAATACATCAAAGTTTTCATATTAATATCCGCAAGTTGTTTTCGTGTCTCGTTTCGCTAAACGTTTAGCACATCATCCATGATTTCTTACTTACAAAGTACTCCATTTAAAAGCTATATTTCATTCTTGATATCTTTATTTGTTGGACCACTACCGTATTGCTTGTAAAGATTAAAGACATCAATACTGCCGAAACATTTTTCACATTTTTGCTATAGATGCTTTCTTTTAATTGTTCATGTATACTTTAACTCTATTTTACAATCTTTTTGACAATAATCCAGCGTGATCCCAGAGCTAATTCCCAATAAACCAAAGCGCCGTATAATTTCTTAAAAGTCTATTAATCAAGCAATGTGACGATATAGTACTTCCAACAATAGTACTTGTCTTTGTGTTTATTACATTTAACACTAAACTGATCGTAAAATCGTATTAACTATTGCAAGTGTTTTCACTGTATCAACCAATTCTTAACTCCTAAGAATCCACGACATGCCCTTGATATTTTGCTAATACAAATATTTTTGCACATTAAATCTATGTCGTGGAATAGATCTGTCGCAACCAGTTTTGTCATGCAGCTCAATTGCTGGCCGAACATTATCTATAGCACCTTTGGTATGTCGCATTCCTTCGTCATCCATGACCTGTCATAGCAAACTAATCGTCGATTATGCCGCGTGCCTTGCCGATCGCGGTCAATCGGCCGGCAATCGGCTTATTGATAACTCGGTCGGCTCCTGACAGTACCTATGTCTGTTTGTAGCCACTCAGTCCTCGTTTGAAGCGAAGTGGGTGACACGAATCTAGTTTGCAGAGGATTTATGTTGTTATTGAGCTCCGTAAGGGATTTATGTACGGTCAAAGTCAATTGCGTTTTGTAGAAGACTGATCTTAAACTGTTGAGGATACGAAAAAAATGTTAGAGATTTTTAAACGTATACCTTTATAATTATTTTATTATTCACACGCCTGTAGCTGCCGTTCACAACTCAACATTCCCAGACAAATTCCTAAGTACAGCTTCATCATTGATATTTAAATCCTTCCCCAGATCTACCTTCCCTTTCGTTTAATTAAATTAGTCTCAAAGAATCGCGTCCCCTACCATCGTTAAGTCGATTGACATGCGTGCGCCAACTCCGGAAGTCTATATAAATAGTGTGAGCATTGAGTCATGCGCACCGAAACGTAACATATTGTCTCGGGGGAGACGTTCAGGTTAATTTTGGATATCTAATAGTAGGGGACTTCTTTTGGCATTAACTTTCTTTGAACTGATGACTTCGGGACCGTTTCCGCGTCATTAGAGTTCGTCTCTTTCATGTTTATGATGTTCTATACCATGAGTGGTTTCATCAGGACTAATAAGCTTAATGTTACTATCATCGTCATTGCATAAATTATGTTCAGATTGATCTGAATGATAATTTAGTACCTATCGTACCGTTTTATTCTAAGTGGCCATATGGTCGTTGCTTATGACCGTTTTAAATCACTTTATCCAGTAACTCGTTCTCCATTAGTATTCTTATCGCGTACATCTTTATCGTAGGGTTTTCCTACTCCATTGTCATGTTGGTTCAACGGAACTAAACGGTCTATCCAAGATTGTAGGTGGAGTTTCTGATTTCTTCATACAATTGTCGAAAATGTAATTCTAAATTCAATTGTCGTTAATAAACCTGTCTAAATAGGTCAGAGACTGATGTGCCAAGTTCATCTTGTTTGTATAAAAGGACTTGATGTAACCAGTAACAGTAACCATTGTTTCTCTGATTCTTATCTGAATGCACAAGAGTAAATTCCCCAACATCTCAATGAAAAGTTTTTCTCTGACGTATTTCATTAATGATTATCAATTATTCTCATTAGTAATATTCATTGCCATTATGAATTCAATATATTTATACTTGAGTAGATAATATTTTCCTTATTCAAAGGAGTGTGCACTAATTTATTGACTATTAATGATATTTATTAGTGTCATGGTCGCCAAGGATGCGCTTGCGCATGTTTCTGAACCCTCCGTCACGTTCTCAGTGACATCATTGTTTTGAATTGTGTAGTGAATTATGAGTTAAGGTTTTATATATCTAAATACATAGCATCTTTACTTATAATGATTCCAATATGTCCATACAGACTTTAAAAGTTTAGCTAGGTTGAAAAATAATCGAAATATTTCAGAGCATTACGTACTGAATGACTCATTCCCAAACGTAGCCAGAGAAAAACACGTCAAAGATCTATTAATCATAATACACCAGGTAAATGTTCTTTTTAAATTCCGACACTACCACACACCAGTACACTTCTTAGTGACACGTAGTTTACAATATGTGTGTCATTAGGAAAAAGAGTTGCTTTTCGTAAACTTGCTACATCTACCAGATCTATTTTTGTAGAAACAAAAATGAATATCACGAACATACAAACAATGTTTCACTTGTGTTTAATATATTTTGAGCTGCTCACACCCACGGGATAAAAGGATGCAGTTTTGGAAACGGGTCGACGACCAATCGAGGTGTTCATGACGTAAGCACTGCTAAATTTTGTGACACTGAAATATCAACTTTAAATCCCTCTAACTAGAGTTTTATTTACTCTCATCAGGTTGCATTGCTCATCCTTAATAAGTTTTGACCATGATGCACTGGATTTACAGCTTTAATGGTAGGAGGATACGGTGTGGAATTGGAATTATTGCAAAAATATTGATGGTGCTTGATAAATTTGATTGAAGTGGATGAATGGTTGCGAAACCCATTGTTATCGACTCTTTGCTTGAGAACCTATTAATCTGCCATCTTGACACGAATACGTTTGCAGCAATATTTCCATAGGAAAATATGAGGAACATAAATTATATCTTAATTATACATATGCTATTGTGGTAGTGCGAGAATAGAGAAAACTTGATGTCAATGTCATTATTTTGAGTGATATTCATAAATTGTGGTTAGCGAGCTAAATACTTCTTAGGATAGAGGAGACAGATGATGTCACTTGTTCACTTTTTGCCATATAACATGTTACACTATAAATAGAAACAAAAGCTTTAATCCAATGACGCAAAAACACCAAATTAAGATTCAATTTTGATACTTTTACGCGCTATATAAGCTACACACTTCCTTTTGCAAAAGACGTCGCAAAAAATTGTCATTCATAAGTTTGATGAAAAATTTGGTCAAGACTTACAGATGGATGTATAAACTATGTACGTACATAGAAATATCCTTTAACGGTTGCCAGTGTGACGTCATCGCTTAGATCACCACTAATTGTGGAGTCATTTTGTTGTATGATCAAGCGCATGGTCAAGCTGTGGAACGTATTTGCAAAGAAATACTGTTGGATTAATGATAAATATTTAATGATTGAAACGATGTTTTCGTAGTAATTATTCCATTATTTCATAATGAAAATGAACTTAAAAGTATTGTCATAGTTGATGATGATAATGTAACAAATATCGGAATATTTTTAGCAAATACGTCAAATTATTTAACAATTTCAATTTGGTTAAAGATGGCTATTTTGATCAAGGTATTGTAAACTGTAACTCGTAAACTTTCCATTGAACAATTAAAATTAATATTGACGTTTAATATGATACGTGGAACTCATAAACCTGGTGACTAATTCATTTTACGTTTTAACAGAATATTATCCTCAATCGACGACTTTATGTAGATTAGGGTTGTATTTAACATTTTGCTTTCCTTTTTAACATTGATTTCGAAAATTTTTGGGACTAAAATCGTTTTATTTTCCTGTTAAGTTTAGTTCAGAAACAGTTTTACAAGGATTCTCTATGTTATCAACATTGCCGACATTCGAACTTCTACGCCGAATCCATATAAAGAAAAGTTTTGTTATTTGCTCTCTCCATAAATAAACGCTTTTCATATCACAAGGGACGTTTTAGTATAAATGAGTTTAAACGACTTCTTTCATATTTTGCCTCTGAAGTATTAATTGTTTTGTGTTTTTATCATCTTTGTCTGCAAAAAGCAGTTTGTTTGTTTAATTTTTTACTTTATGTTTAATTTGTTGGTTGTTTCTTTTATGTCAATACTTTTTTGTTTAGCATTTACTCGCATCTATTATATCTTCTTTTTAAACAAATTCCATCTGTTGTCTATTTTCTTCAGCTTATTGAATTTCTTCTCATTTTTTACAATTTTTTCTAAAACAGTTATGTAATCAACAATTTAATTATCCGTTATTACAATGTTTGCTGGTTAAAGGACGTATGTATCCCTACCAACAAGATGATGGCTTCCGCGTTGTTCGTGCTTATCATTATGACATTGGTACTTGTTGTGTATGGCATCATTTGCTTCATGTGTAACTACTGTTATGTAGTTATTATGTTATATTATTGGATTATCCATGTGTTTATCAAAAGACGTTGCTTTATATCCAACAATTTATAATGTGTTATGTTTTTGCTTTTCGTTTCTTTGTTATTTTTTTTATTATGATGTTGTTTAAGAGACATTTGGTTTTGGTAGTTGCTCTTATTATTATTTCAGCTTAGGACATCTTATTTTGATATTCTTCTTTGGAATTTGGATCTCGCTACTTTTCTAATGTTTTATTCATTCTAATTGGTGAAAAGTGATTATAATTAAGACTACGTTTAGCTTAATAGTCTAGGGAATCTTTATGTAATATTATAATCAACTTTTCTCTTTTGTCTACCTTTGCCGTTCATGTTACGTCTAGTCTCATAGGTATCATAATATTTTAATTGATCTACTTCAAACAATCTTCCGTAGTTTCGCTTTACAATGTTATGTTAGACTAGCTACTTTTTCGTAGGATTGCCTGCTTCCCGGCCCCTGTATGACTATTGACTAACTCGATAAATGGATTATCTAGCAAACATATAGTTTTTCAGTTTCGAGTGTGTAGTTCTGGAGATTGGGCGTTAAAGTATTATTTTCACGTTTCTATATTAATTTCTGCTCTTTCTCTTCTCTTAACATGTTCTTTCTGATTTCATACCTACATTGTCTGTTAAAGGTGTTTCTTGTAATAAGATAATGACTATAATTTGTACGTAAGAGGGAAACAACTAGTTTTCATATTTGTGGGCGAGTGAACTAGCAATTTGCTTCTATTTTAAGATATCCATAAATGCATTCATTGTGAAGTGCTTGTGTGTGGGTGGTAGTTGCTTTTGACCATAATAGTATATAGCTCCATCTAGCGGTGGTTTCAGGCAGTTTTACCTTATTTTTATTTTATATTCGACGTAAATGTCGTTTTGTTTACTCTCATGCTGTAGACTCTTATATCTTCAATAGTTTCCTTTTTTATGTGATAGGTCGGCAAACGAACAGACGGACTACCTGATGGTAAGCAATCAGGGCCGCCCAAGGAGATCTGCAACCTTTATGGTCCCAACCCCACACTAAAAGTTGGTAATTTCAAGTCACCCTATATATGAGTATAACGTTATTTTTATAATTACGTGCCCACCATATTAGTTTATGGGAAACTTATATGAAGGTAGTGGAATAGGACCTTAAAAGTTAATTGTTTGTTATACTCGTACATACATGTAAACTTTGTTTTAACTCGGGTCACGTGTCTGTCATCACTCGACCGTGGCAGTGTTTATAATTTTATTATTAACGCTAAAAATATTAGTTTCTCATCCTATTTTCCTTTAAAACTATTGTACCTATTATAACTTAATAGTCATGTAGGTATGTATCTTGTTAGTTTATTTTACTTTAGCAATTGGCTCGATGTTTCCGAACCGATACGATCTTTAAATGAAACAAAAAACGTGCATACTCCTTTTTTTAAAGGCTGGTCACGCGCCTGTGTCTTCTTTAGGGTTGCAGATGTCCATGTGTCTGCTCACATAAAATCAGGTGATAGGACTGCTCGCTTGCCTCCTATTCAATGATATTGGTTTCAAGGGATCATAATATTTTTGGGAAGGCTGCGTTGTTGTGGATGTTGATTTCGTTAGTACTAGATACTGAGTCGGTTTTGCGAAACGGTAATATCATTCAAATACAGGATAAATCGTTAAGGTGTTTGTATCAAAAAAATAATATTCATTAAGTACACCTGCTTGATTTCTGAATGTCAATGATCTTATGTTTTTGATTTTCCTCATCATAGTTTGGCGCTACCGTCGTATCTTGAACTTTAATACCGGTTACGGGTTTATTTAGTAAAACATGTCTGTAATCATATTTTATTGGAATCTTGTAATACTCTTTGGTGCTGTACGAATATTTATTGTGTATTTGTAGCTTAAAATAACTACTTACCATATTTCCCTTTCATATAGTTCAGCAATCGTTCAATAGATGTCATTGTATTCAAATTATATGTTTTTGTGTGTGTTCCACAGGAGAGTCGCGGCGCGAGGGCTCGACAGACGAACCGACAGCACCCGACGGTGACGTAGACACCAGCGATGCTAACACCAAGGAACCTGACAAAGATAACAAGTAAGTCGTATAAGAAATATTTTAATTGATTTTCAAAAAATGACACTAATATCATGTATCATAATGAATAGTGTATATTCATCATGTTGTGTCACGTCTGAAACTCGTAGCGCCATCTGTTAGAAAGTAGCAATACTAAATGTGGTTGTAGTTCGGCTACTCGCCACTAGGTGGCGTTGTTTTACCATGTAACTATATTTAGGTTGTATTCAAGCATTATCATGATGTAATTAATTAATTATACAGTTATTAGTGTGTAGTATTTTTTATTAACTGTACTGTCATTAATTTTTTTTTCAGCTATTGATTATGTTTTACTTTTCAAACTATTAAATGATAAAATAATGAACCCATTAAACTTTAAAAGAGATTAAGCACAAATCAGTAAATCCAAATCAAAAATATTATCCTAAAACTTACGTCTTTACCTTCGTTTGTAGTTGGCGGTCCCCGGCGACAGGTGGCGGGCGCGGCGTCAACCGAGCGGAGAGTTGTCGCGAGCGGGATGCTCCCCGACGCGGCAAACATCGCAACGCTAGCGACCCCAACCGACTGACTGCACACAACAACCAGTACGTACTTATATTTTAATAATTATGATGTCTTTCTTTAATTTTTATTCCAGATATGTCTCCAAAAAACTGCCATCAATGTCGAATTTTAGTTGTTCTTCATTGGACGGTCAATAAAATGCAACACGCTTTATTAAGAACTAGCCGTGTCCCGCATAGTTCTTTGTTTTTTAGGGATAGTGTATCTTCGTAACAGTAAAATAATTATTCAAAACGGTCTAGTAATTTCAAAATTTATTCAAACAAACAAATAACTAATCTTTCCTGAATATATAAATTCTACTAAACTATACAACTAAAGTATAAAAAATCTTTTGTATTTTTGTTTCCAAATTGATATTAAATTGATTATTTTTATACACGATTCCTTAATTCGTTTTTATATTACATAAAAAAATGTTTTTTAAATTGTATTAGCAATCAAATCTTAGCATTTTGGTACGAAATTTTTATTTGATTTAGTAAATTATTAGTGTGCTTACGTTTAGTCGATCGATATTCAGAACAATGGTATAACTACTGCTAATAAACAAGGCTTACAAAACTAAATTCTTAACCTTGACTATGGATTGAACTCAAAACTCTACAGTAATCTTTTCTTATCTTTTATAAATAATATAGAAATGAATTATTGTGGTACGTCAGTCTCACGAAAACTCTGAAACGACTGAACCCAAATTTGTAACACTTTTGGAAACCAGTCAAGGTTTATTTGGTGAGAAAATATGCAAAAAAAATGCGAGTAATATACTGAAGACCATTATATTATACATATTCCCATAAAGACTGCTCTGTAAGTGGTATCAGATATTTTACTAGACGAGATATTTGACTACTGTGATAAATAAACTTTTTCCTACCTTATTACAAAACAGATTAAAAAAAAAACGTTGCCTTACATTAGGATTTTCTCCTGTGTCGTGGTTGCGGTCACAAACATACAATTCACATGCACATGACACCCAGACCCGGAACAACAATTTGTGGATCACACAAAGAGTGGTTCCAACTGAGTGGTGGTGGGAATCGAACCCGTGACACGTTGCTCGGCAGCCAGTTGCCTAGCCACCGCACCAACTGCGCAGTCAATGTGAAACAAGATATATCTTTAGTCTAAGTTATTAGGATTTTAATTACAATCCATTGAGTCAGGATTTGTATTTTTAATCTTATCCTCTTATTGTGGCGGTACGTAGTTCGCTAGCTCAGCTAGATTTTTTTTAAGTTATAGGTCGGCAAACGAGCGTACGGATTGTCTGATGGTAAGCAATCAGCGCCGCCCATGGTGCATCGCCGGTCTCTTATTGGTTATGAAAGGGGATTTCAGGATTGAAGATGGGGGGAATTGGGTCTCCGGTAACTTCAAAGACACGGCGAAACACAACGTAAGTTGTTGCTTCACGTCGGTTTTGTATGAGGCCGTGGTATCACTCCGGTCGAGCCGACCCATTCGTGCCGAAGCACTCTTATTAGTACCACACATATAAAGTAGTAGTGGTAGTTATTAATATATTTTCAGACAATATTAATATTAAAAATAACCCTGGAGACTAATTCCTTTCTCGTATCAATAAAGTTTATATTAAAATATACCAAAAATAACAAATTCTTTACATTCCGTCCAAAAATAATATCGAGCCATGCCAATACTTTTTATTTCCTGAACCCACTACCACACAGACGGTAAAACGTCCTAACTATCATATGATAAACAGCCGAAAATAAACTCTATGTTAAACCTTATACTGCACAATTTTGTTCGAAACTATTTCAGTGTGTCTGGAACGGTGTCAATTTAACTATATTTTATTTTAAACTTTATTTTCTTTAAGTTTAGTGTTTATTTTACTTTGATCTGATCTTTGTTTTTAATTGGATTTCATTATGCATTGTTGTTAGAAGAATAGTGTTTGCTTGTGGCCAGGTTTGCTTGAACTCTGGTTTGCAAACGAATTTTTAATGTATACATGCCATGATATAATGGTACTAAAGATGACATAATATAAAGGTTTTGATTGTATTGGTACAAACAAGGATAAAAGTTAAATAACATTTACAACAGTATTCAGTTCCTGTATCAAACTCCACGCTTCCGAAATTCTCCATAATTTAGTTCTCTTCAAACAATACCGAACTGCATAACTTGATCTCCCATTCACATTGCACCAATCCACACTCAAGTGTCAAGATCGACTGGTCGTTATAACCAGTATATATTGATCTTTAGTTGCTAGATATAACTAGGCACTCACATATCACACTGTCTGGTCTTAAAATCCAGTGTTAGTTGATCCTTACGTGGATTCGGAGGTGATGTACGCGAAGGTCTAGTAGGTTGGTGACTGCAGTTTGCAAGACCAAAGTGTTGTTACAGTTTTCAGTCGGTTCCCAGACGCGATCGAACGCGCATTGCGGTGTTTTGCCGCCTGAATGAACTGAAACTTTGTGTATTTATTAAATTTTTGAATTAAATTTAGCAGATTGTGGTTCAAGTGAACTTTTTGATAGTTAAACTAATACTTTTTTTTATTTAATCATGGTGTTTTTCTACTATGAGTAAGAACTGAAGTTGGTAAATTATTTTATACATAAATAAGTAATTAAGTTTAGTAAAATATGATAAATTAAATAGTTTTCCTCTAATAGTTATTTTAGGATGGTTTTGATAACACTTACATATATACTTACTTTGTTTATATAATTAATTTAATAGATACTTCTAAAAAATAGACTCCCTCGTTGGTTGAGTGAGATTAGGCGCGCATTGTCGAGCAAGAGTACTCATGTTCGGTTTCGTTCCTATTCGGAAAAATTACTGAATTTTCACGGAGTATACACAACGAACGACATGTGTACCTCTGCTGTCCTTTTTGAAAATTCAAGGCGTGATATTATGTTTTGTAATAATTGGATCTCACCGGTAATTTGAATCAAGAATTTTGTCGAATTGGTCGGTAATATTGTATGAGTTCTGATATCCAAATTATCTGATATTAAGCTTCTGCCAGCGGCTTCGCCTCCAGTGTGGGTTATTCCAGACTATAATCTATCTTTTTGCTAAATTTCATTCAGATCCGTTTAGTAGTTTTTACGTGACGGAGTAGCAAACTTTTGTACTACAATAATAAATAGAAACTTTATAATATTTGTAGTTTATGCTGGAGTTGTCTATAGTAATAGAGATGCAAATATATATGCAATTGACTATATCTTGTAACATAAACCTAGAGTTAAAATTGTCATTGAATAAACAAACTCTATTTGTAAGGCTTTTAGGATGATTTTCCCTTAATTAAATAAAAGCCTTAAGCAAACGTGGTGATTCATTCTGATTCCTCCGTGTGAGAAGACCTTTACCTGGCTGATGATGAGGAAGGTTACTAAGGAGAAATATACCTAAATCTAAGTACGTAATAGTACTATGAAGTAGAGATTATAATAGGACGTTGCGCTAACAATGGACAGTTTGATCTTGTATTACAACGATATTTAATAACATTATCCATACATACTTCTTGATTCTCCTCATACTTAGCTTGATTTTCGTATCGTTATTATATCATAATATAATCCTATAATGCGTTTTATCTTAAATCGTTGCCCGATAACTACGTTGGTTCAAAAGTGTAAATCTTATTAAAGTATGTAAGCGTGTATGTTATGTTTTTAAGTCCATCGCGCCAAAACCGCTAAACAGATCTGGATAAAACTTGGCGTTTAGATAGGTTAGAGTCAGAAATAACACACGGGCTTTTTATCCTGGTAACGCGAGTTAAACGCTGGCCGAAATAAATGCATAGATATTTCTCGCCCAAAAAAGTACCTTTGAATTATGATGTCTGCTGCATAGACAATATATGCGTCTCCAACCTCCCCTCTTTTAAATATGTCCGCATCTGTAGTCTATAGTTGCAATAAACACATGACAAAATATCTTATTATTTTAAGTTAATAATTGCAAGTCTGACTTGAATAGAATTTCAATGTTTGAATTTTTAATGTTACATTTTACATCAATATGTTAAACTATTATTTTATACCTAACCTCAAAATTGGGGTATAGTACAATTTACCCAAACACAATCCCGTTAATCGAGTTACTATCCGTAGAATTCGCAATATAAACACTATTCCTATCTGAAATCTCTTGTCTGAAACACAAACAGACAGACAGACCCTCTATTGTTTACTAGCAAAATCCTATTACACTAGCCTCCCCCTACCCTTATCAAACATGGCGGAAATGTCACCGCGTCCAACTGATATTTACGTCTACATTGTCTACCGTCTGCAAAATAAGTATAGGTACTTTGTATGCACTTTTCTATTTGGTAGGCAGACAACACTTATTTGCTAGGGATTATTAGGTGTAGTGATTTCTATTGGTTTTTGGAAATCTTTAAGAATTCCTTTTTGTAAGTTTGTTTAGTTGTTAGCACCTTTACGTAATTTATATTGACCTTAATTTGATTTCTGGATAATATATTTGAACACTAGTTCAGAGAATTCATCTTTTCTACAATTTTATTTTTCTGGTATCTTTTCTGCGATTTTATCAAAATCCTCAGATCTAGCTTCACTGTCAATTTAGACTGTATCAAATCTAGATTTTGTAATTTTCTTACAACAAAGATTCGTATATTCTCAGCAAATTTCATCCGAAGTCTTAATTCCAGCAGTCAAAGAATGTAGGTCGTGAATGTAAGAAATATTTTTATCATTTGAACCGAATATGTTATTGGAGTGACAGTTACCGTCTGTGAATGCTAGGAGTGCAAGCTCAGTAGATACTCTGGCAGCGAGCCAAGCTGGTGCCGTGTCAATGGCAACCCAGTGGACACAATGAGCTGACGAGACAATTTGTCCCTCTTTGTTAAAATCTTTTTAAGAGCTCTTCCAATTTTTTTCCAGTCTACCGTTTAGTTTTTGATTAAGTTCTTCAATTGTTTTTTTTTCAATCATGTTTACTGTCTATTTCTATTAAATTATATCCTGAATTC